TTAAGTCACAAGACTCACAAGGATACTGTTATTCCGAATGAAGATGAAACTAAGGCTAATGTAAAGCGACTATGTGGCACAAAATTGTCTGCTGATTGGAGTTTGAAAACCAGAGTTCGGTTTACATCATCTCGCGCCTTTAACTGGTGTTCTAAAATGCTTGGAAAGCAAGAAGCTAGAGGGCTCTGTAAATTTGTTCAACACCAAGACCCAAACAGCGATGATGATTCCACATGTTTTCAACAGAACATTATGTATTGGATTCACCCCATACTACCATGGCTATCCCTCTTCCCTCGGTTAACATCTGACATGAAGTTAACCAGCAAAGTACCAAATGTTGCTGAAAATCAAGATATTGCAGATGCCTTACAAGCCAGCTGGTGCCAAAGTTTTCGCTCGTTGTTTAATCTCCTCCGTTGTGGCAATTGTGATTATTTTTATCTATGTTCAGCACAGTTCACAGTCCTGTTCCGAGCTGCAATGATTGGGGGTGTGGCCTCAACATCAGCATATGTCACCCCCACAACCAAGGGAATAAGGGAAGGTTTTGATAAAGAAGGTAAATAAATACTATATTATAAGATATGATATATCTTTAATCAAATAGTAGTTTCATACTTATTAATGGGTAGAGCAGTGGTCTAGAAAACCAAAGATGCAAGTTCGAATCCCTGAGGATCAGGGCTGCAAATAAATATTTGACTTGACAGGACATTTGTCCGATCACTTTTAATTTTGGTCGGACATAACTTGAATTTAGTCGGACAAAAACCAACATCACTAAATTTGGTTGCACATATATACGTCACAAGATATATATATAAGTTACGAGACAAGTATGTACAGTATAGCCATTCTGGCACAACGATAAGTAAAATGCTAGAATGCCTCGTAAATTTAATTGCAAAATTCAGATTGAGTGAATTTGCAATCGGATTTTGTCGCAATTGTATAATGTGACAATTTTTTTGTGATCGGACCAATGTCCGATCAAAATTACTTTTGCTTGGACATTTGCCAAATTTAGTCGGACATTGTCCGACAGTAATTTTCAGCCCTGGAGGATGGTTCAGAAATTTAATCAAATAGTCTCAGAGAATAAAGTATAAATAGAGGTGGAGGCATGGAGCTGTTCAATGTACAGATATACCAATTACCACCCTTACTAAAAATTGATACAGGAATTCCTGTAGGAAGCTGAAGTTTAAATAGATTCCTATAGGAATTTCTATAGAAATAAAATTGAATTTCCTGTAAGAATTTAGCCTGCAAGCAGGTGTTTATTTTAGAAATAAATACCTGCTTGCAGGCTATTAAGGATTTTTTCCATAAAGTAATTCCTATTGGAATAATCCAAAATTCCCATTAGGCTTTCCTATAGGAATTTTTTCACCAGGACTGAATCCAATATGGGTATAATGAACATTGAGTTTTGGTGATGTACCAAATTTATGAAATACTAGCCTCATGCCCTCTTTCCCTTGTCAAACATTAACTCATTGATACCACATGTTTCTCCATTGAGATAGACCAAAAATTACAAACTAAAGTAAGGTAGCATCATGTAACATCAAAAAACTGCTAAAACATATTTTCTATAAAATTAATCGGATTTACTCAACAATGTAAAAATTTTAGAAATGGTGCATGATTTTGTGAATGGACATAACTTTCTTGGAGCATAGCATACTGTACATTAAGAGGCTGGCTATGCATGTCAGCTGGATACTAGGTTTTCCCATTGGATAGTGATTCATCCACCTTTTGTACAACTCAGGCCCCAGTGTACTGTAGCATTATGTGGCCTGGGCTAATTTATTATTTTACTCTGTCCAAAGCCAACAACGACAAGGGGAGAGCACTGGTGCTCAATGGCTTAAACAGGATCATGAGAATTGCCAACTAATTTACAACCAAGTTTTTCATCTTATTAATGATTAGGTATCTCCTACACCTTACCTGTCCTTGATTTGCCAACAAGTGTATCCAATGATAACAGTGATGATGAACATGTAGAAAATGATCCATTAAAAGATGATGTTGATGATAACACATGTTGGTTGGAAAGTATGGGCGTGGCTAAAGAAACACTTCCACAGTTGCAACAAAGTAAAATTAACCAACAACGAGTCAAGTTAAGAAATATTGATCATCACAGTTCATCGCTTGCTGTAGTAACTGGCAGTCATACTCAAGCATTGTTTAACTATTTACTAAATAATAAAACCCTGATATCAAAGACAGGATCTCATGCTGGTATTCCACCCACTCTACTGGCACCTGTAGCATTTGATGGTGCCACCTTGAAATCACTCAATGCAAAACATGGTATGGTTAATTTAAAACAAGGCAAGAGTCTGGAAAAGGTAAGAACGACTCTGCACCATCCAGGATTCGGTTGTACCAGGGGTTGTACGAAAGGTCAGATAGTGCTATCCACCAGAAAGTGGTTTTTTCAAAGCTTTCTGAAATTGTTTGCTGATTGTTACACTTCAGACTATTAAACTTTAGCATTTATAAATTAAAGTGTCATAGTTTCATTTTATTAATCGTGAGGTTCATATCCGTAGTCATAGTAATACAAGGCAAAATTTCCACATAATCATATATTTCAACGACAACGCGTTTCTGGCACTGCCATCATTAAGCCTGGTTTCCATATGGTCGTAAGGTCGTAAAGAACAAAGTCAAAGATGGAGTCACGATCTTTCTCATCAGTCGAAATACAACAGTTTAGAACTGAAAATACGCCGAGTGATTATAACTAGAGAATACTTATGATTCAAATGTGGTTTAGAACTTTAGAGAATTAGAGGTATAAACTATTATAAACTGGCCGTTGAAAAAGATCGTGACTCTATCTTTTACGACCATATGGAAACCAGGCTTAGTTATACGTAATACGGCCTTCAAAATAGGTTACGAAGTTCACCGCCTGCTAATTTTTTTAAAACTGCATGATTATATTCTACATGCACTTTTAAGTCTGTGTTTTTCATTGAATTTATAACGTTTAACCATTTGTGGATATACACTCAGAGTAACATCACAAACATCATATTCACCTGAGTACATTACACCAACCAGGGCCGTAGCGAAGAGGATAAAGAAGGGGGTGTAGTGTCACTTTTGCCGACAATTAATATTTTCCTCCAAAATTGTTGGAGGGGGGGGGGAGTCGTAATTTTTTTTTCCGGACACACAAAAAATTTTCCGGTCATAACGTTGTTTTTCCAGACATACAAAAAATTTTCCGGATATATCAGAATTTGTTTACTAATCCGTAATTTGAGTGAATTTAGCTAAATTTTAGCTAAAACTATTACTTTTTCGTCCGAACCACTCTAATATTTTCGACCATTTTCGCAGCTTACGGAAACGATTTGCCGATAAAACCGTTATTTTGCCGAAAAGACATTTTCAGGGAGGGAGTGTCACACTCCCTATAGCGACGGCCCTGACACCAACACAGAAAAAATCATGATTACTAGATTGCATTGATATCGAAGGAACTAGACTCAGTTCCGAAATATCACCTACTCGAACCGACCTGACCACGTAGCTCAGTTGGCAGAGCATTGGGCTAGTATTCCAAAGGTCGTAGGTTCGATTGCCACCGTGGCCAGGCAATGTGTTTATGCCATAAAAATAATTAACATCAAGCACGAGTTGTGATGTGGGTCGTTAAGATATGTAATTTATGCAGGGTTCAATTTCATTGACCAATCAGAAGCAGTCTGTTGTCAGCGGGCGGGCGTTTGCCATTTGCTGTGCTCACGGGCTGTCAGCTGTGCTCACTTGCATACTGCTTCTCACACTGTGCACTTGATTTCCCACCCACTCACTCGATAGTGTTTCCCCCCTGCTTGCGTTGGCACGGGCTGCGGTGGCGCCGGCTGCTTGCCGGGTTTTTGTTTTCAGGCTGCTTGCCTGTGCTCGCTGGCTGCTTGCCGGCCTACTTCCAGCTGCTTGCCGGCCCCTTGGGCTGCCTGCCTGCCCTCCCTCTTGCTGTATGCTCGATCTCGGGCTATTGACCCCTCCCCATCCGGCTGCTTGCCGGGTGTTCGGCTGCTTGCCGATGTGTGTATCTGTGCATCAGCATATTTAATTTCGTGAGTTGTTCGTCTGCTTGTACGTTCGTTTGTCCCCTCACCATGAGTCCTTATGTCTGTCACTGAAGCACTTATTGTCTGTTGTGTGTGTCTTTGGCACAGCGTAAATGGTGGGAGTAGTCCTTTTGTCAACCGTGTTCGTTATTTGCATTATGCCGCACCCGCTCATCGGGCTTGCTCCCCGGCTAGTCCGGGTGATTTCTTTCTAGATTGGTATCCAGCGTTCTTTGGTTTCCCTTTGGTCGGTAGGTGCATATAGTTAGTTGTGCTCGGCTTAGTATGCTTACCAGGTAAGATATCTCGTCCGTTCATGTTAATATTCGTTCGGAGTTTTTATTACTTCCGTCTCCACCTGTGGTGTGACGTTAGCTCTGTCCTTGGAGAGGCTAATTCTCGGCATCATTGATATTAGTCAAGTCGGGATGCTGGGATGGCTGAAAGTCTCTTCTACCGAGAAGACAGCTGCGCAGAATGGAGTTCATCGTAAGCCGGCTTGCCGAGTAAACTAAGCAGCCGGAACCTCTCAGAGAATTGAGAATAGAGAACACCCTGTGAATAGAGAACACCCTCCAGAGAATTGATTGCTTAAGCTCGAGTGCGTTAGATTCACCTGAGTACATTACACCAACACAGAAAAAATCATTATGTTTAACCATTTGCAAGAGAATAACTAGAACAAACATACAGAAGTGATTTTTGACATTAACTACAATCTAAAAACCAAAAACTTGCAGGCTATACAAACACAGTAGTCGGATGGAGTGTTCTTTGCTTTTTTCCGCATTCATCAACCTGCATAACATTCATTAGGCGATTAGCGGTTTTTTAATTGAGTGACCCATTTCTTTTCCTTTCATCCATTCTTATACTGCAGTAAACAAGCTCAGCTGACTACCAATTGATGAAGCCACAAACTGGACAAAAAGATGGCCACACTTGAAACGGTATCAAAACTTATATTCCAGATTTGTAAAATAATCCTCTGCGCCTATTCTCACCACTGACGCTTACTTAAAGTAATTTTGAAAGCCTTGCTATAAGGCCTTGCCTTATAGCAAATCCTTGCTACAAGGCCTTGCCTTATACGTTGTCGTTGGTGTCCGCCATGCTCAAACTCTTTAATAGTAAACGTATTGACTGTTTTGTTTTCCAGAAATACAGCCTGGATATCACTGGTCCCATTTTACCTGGAAATTTCTCAAAGTTATGTCAACTCTTTGAATCAACTCAGCAACATCAATTTTCTGCTGTTATGAAAAACCTTCAAGCGACAGCACCATTTAATGTTCTACCGCCTGACATGCAAGCACAAGATCAGAGTGATGATGAGAACTTCCTCAAACAACCTTCCAACTTGGGTACAACTAATTTAACATTCATCAAATGTGATGATGAGCTCTATACATGGGAAACCAGCTGATAGTCGTCTGATGAATGTGATGACACATGCTGGAATATTACAACAATATTTTAAAATGCTAGATTTCATCAATTGATGATTCCAGCTATACTATAGACTTAATTTTGATCTAGGCAAGAACAACGAAATCCATCACCACAGCTAGAAAGAGCATCTTATACAATTAGTAAAGTTGCAAATTTTGTTTGCGAAATGTTGTAAAATGCGGAAAATATGGCCCTGCGAAATTTGCAAGTTTTGTATTAATAGAGAGTTTAAGCTTCGCGTTATACGGCAAACGGCAAACGCCAGGCAAAGAAAAATTTTACGGTATCAACTAATGAAGAGTAAATGAACTAGCAGTTTTAAAACTGAAATACATAGTTATTCTTTCGACACAAGAAAGAAAATATGAAACGAAAACGTTAAACGAAAATTTTGCCAAGAAAGTTCGAACCTGCCGTTTGCCGTTCCCGGAAACGTGTAGCTTAAACTTCCTATTATTTTGTATTACGCACGGGAAAATGCAACTTTCGGCCAAAATGTGGTGCATGTTCCCTTGCGTAATACAAATTAATACAAAATTTGCAAATTTCGCAGGGCTATATTTTCCACATTTTGCATGCAGCCAAACTTTGCAATTTTACTAATTTTAAGATGCCCTATCTAGCTGTGGTGATGGATTTCGTTCTTCTTGCCTAGATCAAAATTTAGTATATAGCTGGAATCATTAATTGATTCGAAAAAGTTCTTTGGTCAATCCATTTGGTCGGGGCTGTCGCGACCAAAGTGTTTCTGTGTCGATATATCTTCGCAGTCAGTAAATGGGAATTGTTTCTTATTCTCATAATTACTGCAATGGTTGACTATCATCTGTTGCTGCTACTATTTGAACTAAATTGGTTGAAATGTTTGTCCAAACTTATCAATTGTCATCGTGAAGATGTAGAGGTCGCCAATGTGACATATTTGGGAGAGAGCTTTACACCGATTACTATGTCACGTTACACAGATCACTATGTCACTATGACAGCCGTGAGCAAATTGAAACTTATATAAGCTTGATAATAATAGCCTTGCTATTTGAGGCTGCATACAGACTAGATAACAATGGATATTAAAGTGCATGTGGACAAACACTTCAACCAATTTAGTTCAAATAGCAGCAGCAGCAACCACTGAAGAATTACTTCATTGTCCACGAAACACATTACTACTATAAATGAGAATTGTTTCTTATTCTAATAATTAATTAGAATAAGAAACAATTCCAATTTAAAGTAGGAATGTGTTTCGTGGACAATGAATGGAATTGAGAGAAGATATCCAAATTTCCCTCCTCTTATCAGGTTCGCCATTTATAAAGTTGACCACTATCTGCTGCGCCGTAACGAAGCCATGAATGAACATATCTGTTCGTAATTAAACGCCAACTCCAACGTTCTAAGGGACGGACCATTTGGTTTTTGATGGGGGAGGGGCGCAAATCCGAAAATCGAGCATGCCCCGAACTGATGAACAAAAATATCAAGCACGGCAAGTTAGTAAAACCAATATATTACAAAAATGTTGATATCGTGCGGAGCCGGTGAGGCCAGAAAAAATCGAGCACTTTCAAACAGGCGCCTCCCCCACATCAAAAAATCAAATGGTCCGTCCCTAACAGAATTTTCCAAACTTTGTTTTCCAGTTGGACAGTCCAATTAATTATTTGTACAAATATTTACATACTTATACTCTATTTATACCATTCTAAATGACATTCTGTACAAGTCAACATATTTATAACAACCACAATATGGTTAAACGTAATTGATACATGATAAAACGTTACTCTTTGAAAAGTGATGAATGCTGATCAGGTCTAGTGGGATGAAGTGGTTTAACATTTGCAAGTATTTGTCTGGCATAGTTCGTGTTATGCAAACCTGCTTGACGTAGTGCTTGTTCTACTTTATGACGTGGATCTGCTGTTAACTAAAAACAAAATTATGATTACACAAGGCTTGTGGATCAATCCTTTTAGGAATGGGGGGTACGGGCAGAAATGAAAGATTTTCTGTACGAGACAGTGAGAACGTCTACTGTACGACTTTCTACTAACTTCCCGACGAAGGGCCTTCGCTTGGAACGTCGAAGTTCTCCGTGTTCAGTTAGTTGCACCCCTATCATCCGACATTTTCCATACGAGAGGCCATCATGCAGTTACACAGTATAGAGCTTGGCCTTTTTTAGCTGAACAGTATAGTGATTGCTATGGCCTGTAATGTATTTTGGTTACAAAATTTCCTTTCTGTGTCGTGAATATTCATATGTCATTTTTAATCTTGCATGATTCTGCCCAACAAACAGACAGTATTTGGTTAAAGCTGGTTGCGATTCACAACCGATTGAACAACTCGCATGCCTAGTTACCATTGTTCTAGTTTATGAAACGAAAGAGTCGGAAAAAGGTAACTAAACACTACTAGAATTAAATAGTCGAAGTTATACGATTTTGACCAATTGAGTTACATTATGCCTTATTTTACTCTTATACACTGTTTAAAGCCTGACTATTTTACTTGTCAACGGAAGAGCGCTAGACTAAGTGTTCAATGGGTTAAATACAGTAAAACGTATAAGCTATTTCAATTAAGGTTGTCCCCCGAGCAAAGCGGAAAAGTCGAATACGAGCGCGAAAGGCTGCTGGGATTCGCTAATAAATGAAGTTCTTAGCGATTCCCAGCAGCCTTTCGCGCTCGTATTCGACTTTTCCGTTTTGCTCGGGGGACAACCTTAATTGAAATACAGTCGAACCTGTATTAAGCGGCACCGTATTAAGCGGTCACCCTTTGTTAAGCGGTCATGTGGCAAAGTCCCGAAAATTTCATAATATAAATACTAGTTAAGTGACCTTTATTGAACGGTCACCTCTATTAAGCGGACGCGGTCACCCTTTCCACGGTCCCAAGCTTAATTTTTCATTGTTTTGAAACTGTATTAAACGGTCAGTGGAAAGTAACTACAGCAAATGGGTGAATGACTTGTTGAGTCAAATTAAACTGAGCAGTCCGCAACAACAAACAAAAATTCATGACTATTTTTCAGCGGTTTAAGCTCTGACATTTTTATTGTACAGTAGTACATGTAGTCTCAATTCAGAAACAATTTGCAGTTTTATATACTTGTTAATTGGTTACTTGGTATGTGTATTGAAATATATTACTGTTTAGTTCAAATTTAGTTATATTAAATGTTATATTTAAGCCGTGTGATGATTTTCTACAAGACCTGTATTAAGCGGTCAACCTGCAGTATTAAGCGGTCACTTGCGAAATCCCCGAGGGTGACCGCTTAATACAGGTTCGACTGTAGCTGTATGTTTACCTGTTGCGCATTGAACGTATGAATGGCGAACAATGGTTTTTGTAACTCCAGTTCCTCAGGCTCTGCTGGATCATCCTTCTTTATAACATGCCCTCTGGAAGCCTACATCGTCAAGATAGTGGAAAATTAGGAAAGGTATGTTACTAAACCAAACTATTAACAACTAATTGTCTATAACTTTATTTACATCCGATAGTTGTATATATTAGATAATAGATAGTACTAAAGTACTGTAAACTGTTTATCCTACAGGATAGCGAAGAATACCGGAGAAAACGTACATTCTTTGCTAGAGCCAAACTGAACGCACCTTTCTCACATGCAACCGAAGCGCAATTTATAACCACTGGAGTACAGCAATGAAGAATGATGGTCTGGCATGTGGAAGGGAAAAGAAAATCAAAGCTCACACAATATAAATACGACCCCCAATGATGACGTAACCACTTACCTCAGTGGACTGAAGAACACGCTGTGGGTCTGCTGTTACATTGACACACACCTTGAAAGGGGGATATAAGGTTTTACGATTCTAACTTACTGATATTTAACATTAAATTCATTCAAATATGCTTCTTTCGGGGCCGATCATTAGAAAAGTGATGGGGGAGGGGAGAGATTTTGTTTGCTCGAATTATGACTTTGGCTGTCTGCTTGTGCTAGAATTCTTTGCCGAATTTTAAAGTGGCACTCGCGTCAAAATTTTTATTTGCTTATTTTCTTAAATGCTCTTAAAATTGTATAGTAACTTGTTTTGAAGATTTTTGTTCCCATGCTTAGTTCTTGAGATATTTTATCTTGTTTGTAACCATGTGACCTCAATTACATATATAATGAGATATCAGTAATTGTTGTTTATCTTTGCTATTTTTAATCAAATCTTTTCAAAGATGCGGCGCGTTTCTTAATTTAACCTACATCATTAAGCAAACTGTTTTTTTAAAACAAATCCATCAAAAACAGCAAAGATACACAACAATTACTGATGTCTCATTATATATGTAATTGAGTCATTGACGTCACATGGTTACAAACAAAATGAAATATCTCAAGAATTAAGCATGGGAACAAAAATCTCCAAAACAAGTTACTATACAGTTTTATCAAATCTTGTATGACGGAACTTTCTCTAAGCCGCATTTTAGTAATTCTGTGTTTGAATAAATTAGACCATATAGGCTCAGTACAATTGTACTGAGCCTATATGGTCTAATTTATTCAAACACAGAATTATACAGTTTTAAGAGCATTTTAAGAAAATAAGAAAATAAAAATTTTGACGCGAGTGCCACTTTAAAGCTATTTTTCTTTGTTTTCCTTTGTGCGAATTTTATTTTTGTTTTCCCCACTCCCCCCATAGGATGCTTCACACAATGAAATCAATAAACGTAAGTACAAAAATGTTTACACGGGAAAAGGCAACACAAGCTTACGTGTGCTAAATGCTGGTGCTTTTTCTTTTTGTGCTTATGTTGGTCCACGCAAGAATGTTGGTGCTTACGTGCCTACGCCTGCAGTATGTTTATTTAATCGTGTGGCGCTTAGTTTCTTGTACAGAGGTAAAACGCATGCATATCCAACCTGTTCTCTTAATTTCTCGAGTCTTCTCTCTTTCTCTTCTTGTTCTTCTGAAAGCTTTTGTTGCAAAAGACGTTTTTCATCCTGACGTTTCATCAGTTCATTTTCACGAAAAGCAACTCTGAATACGAAAATATTCGTCAACAATCGTTCATGCATGCAATTTTAAACAGTAGATCATTTTGAGCCTGTGCCATCTGAATTGTGATAAAAGTTTGAACATATTCACTAATGCGCTATCTTAAAGGTATATATATAACTACACTTTTTAGTTCCATACAACAATTTACATATAATGTTATACGTATTATTTACAACATGAACGGCCGATACAAGATGGACGCGAACTACATTTCTTTTGTGTTTTCATGAATTATTAACTAAGGAGCTTCACAAGAATTATAAGAGATTAATTGATACATACCTTTCGGAATCTCTCAGTGCTTGTTCTTTCAACACTTTTTCCATTTCGGCCAGTCTTAGTTTCTCTTCTTCCAGCTTTTCTGCCTCATCCTGCATTTTCTTTTCTTGATAATTCTTTATCTAACAAAATCACATCGAAAAAGTAAAGACACAGAATTTAAAGTATATTTAATCTAGAATATATAAAAGTGGTTAACCTGTGTCTATAAGAACGTACAAACCACTATACAAAGAATTAGCTTCAATTTCCAGCGTTTCTAATAGAAATTATAGTATAGGAGGTTGTTTGAAAGAAGTAGGCGGCTATACGTGGGTCCGAAGGTATCACCACATGAGCAGTCCAATGGCGTCTTCCTGCATGCGAAAAATTCAGACCCATCTGAACTGGCCTTTCCAGCCATTTTCGATATTTCCTTTTGGAGATTTCGTCATATTATTCACACATTAAAGAAGAATATCGTGTTTTATTTTCACCCTGCTCGGTTTCCTTTGTTCTTATCGGGGAATGTATTCAATATTCCCCTCTAATCAATTTCCGTTTAATAATTCCCTCTAATATTCACCTGCAATGTCTTTGCAGCACAAAAAATGAGAAAAACAACCTAACGAAGGCAATATGGCATTAAGAATTATTTCCATACTGACTCATTAACGCGACCTCGCAATGTGAAAAATAAGTACGTTATATATTTTGAGGCACCTCGGGAGGAAAAACTGCAGAAACTTCAAAACAGGGCAGCAAGGGTCATTACAGGTGATACTTATGATATACGTTCAACAGATATTTTAAAAAGTTGAATTGGAAAAACCTATCCGTAAAAAGAAAAGAAAAAGCAAGTGCGTATGTTTCAAAAGCTATTACCGGAAATTGCCCGAAAAATATAGCTGAAAAGTTTAAAATATCAAATTCTGAAAGACATGATTTAAGAAGCAATAATAAATTTTTAGCACTGCCAAAACCGAAAACAAACTCTATGGTTCGCACCTTTGGATATACTGCTGCTAAAATTTGGAACGAAAGGAATAAAGTAGAGCGAATGCATCTCTATCTCTGTATTTTTGTTTATTTTCTTTTTAATATTGTAAATATTAAAACCCTCGTTGCCTCAAAATAACCTATACATATTTCGGGAAATATTTTGGGTTATAATTAAATTTTGAGAAACAACTAGCGATTGTCTACGGTATAGGCGGAGAAATTCGCCGGGTACCGGTGTCCCAGGATTTTCGCCCCCCCTACATTTTCGCCCCCCGGGGGGCGAAATTCCTAGGAATATCGCCCCCCCAGGGGGGCGAAAATCCTAGGAATTTCGCCCCCCTTTAGGAAATTCGCCCCCCTTTAGAAACTTCACCTTTTCTTTAGGATTTTCGTCCTCCGTTCAAAATTTCGCCCTTCCTAACAGTTGCATGGGATAATTATTACATGGCTTTAATCATTTGAAATCAGTATCAATTCAAAATTGTTAAGACAGAGCTTGAAATAACCGATCACCGATCAATGATCGGCAAGGAATTGCTTATGATCGGCCGCTCGGCGGAAAAGCAGGGTTTCGGTTTCCAACCTGAAAAAAGCAGGGAAAGTCGCGACTGCCGATCACCATGATCGGGAACTTTGGGAACGTTATTTCAAGCCCTGCATGTAAGAATACAAATTTACAATTACATGTATCGAAAGGGCTTTACACAGTTACAGTAGATGAATACTCAATAGGACTTATGACGCTTCACAGCACACCATGCATATTTTGCATTTTTTCAGTGTTAATCCTTAAACTCATTGTTAAAAATTAATTACCGTGGTGGTTATTGTAATTATTGGTATTGTTTTGCATCCACGTTTTGTCGTTATCGGAAAATGTATGGTTTGTCACTATTTTTTACTTGCATTATTTCAATATAGTTTGTAAACTCAGAAGCGAAGGGTAGAACTTGGCAATAGGCAATAATCCAATAATGTACGTTTCAAAAAAGCAAAAAAGACAAGAAAGCTTTTAGTTTTGCAGAGTTACATTCTCAAATGTTTAAGGCATGCACTAATAAAATCAAAGTATCATGAAATTATTTCAATAAACCACACCACATATACAATGCAATTTTCTTTGCGGAAGTGAAGAATCAAGATTACATCACTGACACAGAAAGTTGACGATTTAACGGACTATTGTCAATACGCTTCCCAACAAATTCCATGGATTTTTTACTAATCCTATAGTTTATTGTTAGCAAGTGATTACTGTGGCGGCTATTGTTAACACTCGTATTGATAAAATTTGCAAGCGATTGTTTTTATAATATGTTATGTGAATGTAAACTGCCAGAAGAATACGACAACATGATTTTATGCGATCTCTGTGATGGTTCCACTTTAGATGTGTAGAATATGACACTAGTCTAAGTACCTCAAATTACTCGGTTATGCAGACTGCGCACACCACCAGCTGCTAAGAAGCCTAAAATGTGTATGTGATTTTGTCTCCTTGTAATAAATAAATAAATCACACAATAAATCTTTTCAACTTGCAATTGTTTGGTTTTTAGATCAAAAATTCAAAATTTATATGGGGGGGCGAAATTCCTAAAGGGGGGCGATATTCCTAGGAGATTCGCCCCCCAGGGGGGCGATATTCCTAGGAGATTTGCCCCGGGGGGGCAAATATCCTAGGAATATCGCCCCCCTTTTGAGAGGGGGGGCGAATCTCCTGGGGGGGCGAATCTCCTGTGACACCGGGCCCCCCGGCCCCAGCCCTGGCTACGCCTCTGCAGTGAATATATATATTTGATGACAACATCAGGTAAGTCCGCATGGAAATGGTGATGACATATTTTCCTATCATTGTAAGCTAATTAATGAATAAAGTATGCATATAAAATTTAAAATATCTGGCACTGGTCAGTTAACTGAACATGCCTCATAAATTATGGTTGGTATCTTTCTGGTAGGTACATATCTATTCGACAAACTGCGATTTGACTAGCAATACTTATATAATTTTCAAAAAGGCGCAAAGAGCATAGGCATGCGAGACATGCAGGGGGGGATTCTACTTTAAAAAGTGGGCAACTATAATGTATTTTGCCATGATATTAAAGGATTAGTGAGGTCATGCATTGCGGGCTTTTGTTATTGTTTACATTTTACTCAAATACAACAAATAGCGATAAAAATATCTTGTTTGGTACATTTCTGATAAACATCAGACAAAAAGAGCAAGGATTATAAAAGGATGGTTTAAATATATGACGGATTGTAAACACTTTTCAGATCATCTAATCTATTCGTCCCGAAAAATGGCCGCCAGCAGGAGTTTGAGCCCGCGAATTCCTGGTGTGACACTAATTCTTTAATGTTTAGACGTTTGGCCAGAGAAACCGACCATATTTGGCAATAATTCAATGTTTCTTGTTTCTTTGGACAAATAACAAGACAGGACTTTTCTATCCACTCCGCATTAAATTATAATTTTAACGATATTTTAAGATCTCTAAAAGATTTTATTCAGACTCGATGGTTGTCAATCAATGGAACATGTATAACTATAGGCGTGCATGTAAACCCCTGCTCGTCCACAATCGATTGACGTCCTTATCTGATATAATTAAGAATTCACTTTTCATCACATGCATGAATATCCTTTGCAACAAGCCCAACTCAAAGTCATGACTGCGAAGTGTAAAATGATGAGATGAAAATTTGAATTCAATAATTAAGATAAAAAACACGCCTAAGGTCACCAGGCGTGAGAAAGTATAGACAAAATAACTGAATAATACCCAAGCGACTTAGCACACGTCCATATTATAGTTAAACGGTTAACCGTTAAGCCTTCTCTGCCGTACTGCAAGGGGCAACAAGCGAACTAGTGAATTTATAAAAACCCAATACTTTATTTGTTTATCAGTTACTTTTACTTCACTAAGTGTTAGTACAAACTCCTTCACTTCTCATCCCTTAATCCTTCACGTTTTGCCACCCCAAAATGGCCGAAATTTGCCACCCAAAGCCTAGTGGGATGACATGCTAATTATTTATACTCGTAGTTTCATAAAATAGAAAAAAATAGTTTAAATGACAGTTCATTTGAACTACATGTGCTTACATAATAACATTTATTGATGATTATTGGGAAACACAACTGATTCCAAGGTCGCCCACTTTCGGGATTTTTATGTGAAAGACGTTCACTAAAACACTTTAAACACACTAAAAGTGGTGTTCGTCGAGAAAACTGGCTATAACTGAAGCCCATATGTCACACTACACAACTATAACGACACAATAACTTGTAAACACACGATGATTGGTAAAAAAATTATGTTGGTGTTCACTGTCCACACTTTTTTTCAGTCGGACGATAACGATAAATTTTTGACCAATCAGCGCGCGTATACAAATTATCGTATCTGGTTGTCTCGTTGTGTAGTGCGCGCCTTAATTACGTCTTTACAGCAGTTCGACGTGATACGCGTCCATCTCACGCAAATAGTTAATCGTTTTTGACATTTATACGTGCGGTCACTAATTCAATATCGGAAACGTTAATGAATAAAGCCCGCCAAATTCCATCACGACTTAAGAATTTTATAATATTATACGCGTGTAGAATTCGTGAGTTGTGATTGAATCAGTTTTCATGATGTTTCTGATATCGAATTAAAGACCGCGACCAAATGTATCTACATCACACGTGATACGTAGTACGTGATACGCGACCGTGATGTTTGACACACGGTTTATTTTAAGAAAAATTTAGAATTGTACATATGGGGATGTTACGAAGGCAACGGGTGTTTGACTGGGGGGTGGGGGGGGTGTGGGGGTCGAAGGATTTTTTATCAGCAAATAGGTGACAGAATAATGGTGTGGTTGGGTGGGAGAATTGGAGAAAGGCCCGGCAGACAAACTCGATTTTGGGTGCGGGAGCTAGGGGGTGATCCCCAAAACAATTTGAATCTAGAAGCTCTTAAGTTCTGGCAAAGATTTGTTTTACCCAACCACTCACAAAAACTGTTTCAAAACATGTAACTGGGAATCATGAATATTCAATATACATTTGAGGCAGCAAAGAATATTAGATTCTCCCACTCTAATCTCTTTTGGGGAGCTTCGCTCGTCCCAATTTTTCCTTCTTTTCCATTACCCCAGCACGTAA